AAATAAATAAGAAATTGTGGTAATTGTGGTAGCACCATGTGACTACGTGTGGTGCACATGTGTGCCAATAGAGTGAAGGCGTTGGAGCTTGATCACGTGTCATAATAAAGATGTCACAGTGAAGATGTATCAACCATGCACGAGCTCAACAGGATTTGATCATTTCTTTCGAAAATAGTTTATGGCTTAATACCCATTAACAAAGCCATTCTGTATCTCTATATGTTTTGATCATGAGTTTAGGTTGGTTAATCTACCAAGATGGTATTTTGAGCAGCAATCATTTCAAATGCTATTTGAACACTTTACTTGACGCAACTAATACTCGCAAATGAAAGTGGGCTAAATACCGGAGTGCGGCGCCAATACTTTCGAACCTGCCAGTGAGAGGCAAATTCACCCGAAGTCAACCCAGTGAAACTTACTCAAAATGTATGAAGATTGTGCCTGGGAAAGATCACGAATGAAACCCTGCGGAAGTCACTGAACAACGTGTGGGTAGGCTTTCCCTAAAAACTGCGTGCCGAAAGGTTCCGCGAACTGTACCTGGTACGGATATGGGTACTGGGTATGGCTGCACTAGGACCAAACAAGGAATTCGCATCAGGTGCAATCATCAATGATTTTGTTGGATGGGAAGTCAAAAATAAGAGTTTCATTGTGCTTCACCTCAAACTCCACTTCTGCGCCACAATTACTTTTAACCACACTGATAGCGCACCATATAATTTACACTCCTATGACTTCGTGATCGTAGATGGCTGCGACGGGATTGTGGAATAGGCACATGAGCCGGTTCGTCGCAGCTACCAGATACTGCCGCGCAACAGTAACAATACCCACTATCTCCTTACCACGGGAACAGCTCCCATTGAGCACGACCCAAATACTTGACAAACTTTATAATGTGGGCATCGCAACCGACGTAGAAATCTACGTAGCGAGGCACGAAATCGTAAAAGACCCAAGAGGACTAATATAATGTCGTAGTGTAAGAGAGAGATTTCTAACGCAACGACGTGCTCTGCCCCAGATTTTAGGAAAGGCTGACATCCGCTTGCCGAAAGTTAAAGAGTGTTGTCGGAAACCCATCTTCCCATGCGTCTCATCACATGTCCGTACGTTCGATGATCGCACGTTTCCCGCCCGTCTCTGCTTAGAGCATTTGTAAATTGGACGTAAATGAATAAAAATTTGATACTGCCAGCTATTGCGCGAACGGATAGAGCAGGAATAGTCAAGGAATAATGCACAAAATTGCAAAGAAGGGCACTCAGAAAAAAGAAAAATAGAGACTATGAAGTAAGTGTTGTGACAGGTTGAATTTTCTACTTCCTATTGAAAGTGTAAAGGAAAAAGTAAAAAAATAAAGGGTAATTTAATTAGACACTTACTGACTTCTCGAATCCGGTGGCTATGGAGCACACGTCCCGTGAACTGAACTGGTCGTTTTCACGTGAGAACCACCAGCTTCGAACATCTCCTCGCTCTTCGGCTTCAACATTTGGCACCAACGGAGCGCTGATGAACTCGAAATCGGCATACTTCTTGAACTGTTTCCTCAAACTGCCGGTTTTCTCGCGAAACAGCACGTCGTTCTGGCGATACCCATGAAGACAAAGTATTCGCAGTCGATTTCTCGTGGTCGTCATCACGTAAAAACTCAAGTAGCTGTAAAGTTCGTGCTATTCTTCCTCAAGATGAGCCCTGCCATTCACTTTCATTCACGAAAAGAACACAAGCATTGATTGAACAACTCGCGAAGATACCTCAGCGTTTGAGAACAAGCCCAAATACAAGAAGTGTCACATGTATGAAAATTGGAGGACAGATCGATAAAATATTGCACAGTCTGAACAATGGCCAATCTCCAACAATAAGGTACTAACTAACCATAAAAAGTGAAGAGAAAATTCCACCCCGCGTAGTTCTAGAACATATTCAGAACTAAACAATCAACTTATAACGCAGGAAAGTCTCCACAGCTCCAGAAACAGTGCAAAATAATCACATTTTTAAAAATGAAAATAGGTATAACAATAGTTGAGAAAAGCCAGTCGACTTGTGGTAAAGAAATCAGGTCCACACACTTCTTTTTTGAGATCAAATTTCGGTGCGAAGTGAGTTGAGTGGGGTGGGGGGGGGCACGCGGCGGTGCCGTTTCTCAAGTCTGATGGGACTAACAATCAGCCTGAGCCTGGGAAGGATAGTAGGTTGTAAACACTGTGATTTCTGCTTTTGCAGAATCCCATTTTTTGG